CTGAGGTGATTGTCCCGATGTCAAAGTTAACCCGGAGTACCTTCAGCTTTTTAATTATTAATTTTGGTCCGATCTACGCAGAATGAACTAACTGTGTCTTGAAGTCTTGCAGTGGTATGCTTGGGTTTAGTTTTAATTTTATGAATTACAGGATCCCAAGTAGGTGGTAGTAACCAGCCTCCCTCTCTATTGAAATTAGGATGTTTTTTAATTTCAATAGCCTCACGTATCATCCTTGGCAGGAATCGATGTTCTTTCGCGAGGACTTGTGGTTTATCAAATCTAATGTAATGGCGGGGGCCGTCTAGGATATGATCACAAACTGCAGACTTCCCGGAACGTTGGTGCTTCACGAACACATAGCTGACGTCCCCCGTGACCACGGTTGCTGGAAAGCAACCGAAACTTCGGGAATATAAAATAAGTTAATTAAACGCGATAAAATCCGTAAAAATAGTTTTATTCAAAGATACTATTTTAGTCCTTAGGAGTCACAACAGTTATCCATTTTGATTATTAATCTCAAGGCCATAACAATCATCGTCGTGACTATGAATATGTGTTGTGTAAGATATATTTAGATTTCCACCTATGTACTGACTCATCACGATATCACTGGAACCATAAGGCCTGAAGATTTAAAATTAGTTAAGAATATTCCGTTTGCCGAGAAGAGGTCAGCTAAGAACGGATTTTACAAAATTTCATTATTTAAAAAATGCATTAATTAAAAAAAATCACATTTTCAAACTATACCTGTTATATGTATAAAACTTAGCCAAAATATTATTTCAGTGGGTCCCTGGATGGTTTAGATTTACATTGGAACCTGCTAGGTGGCGCTGTTGTCAAGATCTAGAAATCACCCGTACGATACCGGGGCGCATCGCTAGTTCTTTATATAATTAATATTTTAAAAATCATCGGTTTCATCTCATGGCGCAATGAATAAAATTGATATATTCTAATGATGCCGTAAGCCGAAACTCCTTTTAGCATCTGTTTTTTATTCGTGGGATACTCGTCCCAATTTACCTGTCCGGTAGTTGTGGTATAGTATACGGGTATGCGACCCCGGCTTCCCAAGCTATTACTGTCCTATCCCTTGTCCTCCTGGGCGGTAATATCATACATTTCCTATTTCCAACCCTAACTTACCTTACTTTTCCTTTTCACACCACCTATCCTTCCCCTTTTCCTATTTCTACCCTCTCCGCCAATCCACGTTTGCCGCGCGGATGGATGTAAGGCTAGGGGCAAGCCTAGTCGTTAGCGTGCCACACTGCCCTGGGACCGGGCGACCCCAGAATTAGGCTAGCCTTACCCTGGCATGCGGGGCTCTGCTGGCGGGGACATTAATTAACCAAAATGGTGGCGATGTGGTTCACCAGCCATCACGTCTCGTTTTTCGCGGGGGCGAAAAGCGGCCCACGGAGAGCCGCTTCGCTACGTTGAATGTAAGAGGAGGAATGGATGGTAAGGTAGATGAAGTATGTCAGATGATGAATGAATGATGTATTGATATTCTGTGCGTGAACGAAACCAAGAGAAAAGGATGTGACACCACGGTTCATGGCCCCCACACGGCATACTGTTCGGGAGTCTCCCAAACCAGCCGAGGCTGTCAGGGAGTTGGTGTGATTCTTTCATCTCGAATGGTTGAATGTGTGATGGAGCATGAATGTGTAAGCCCAAGACTCTTCTGGATTAGGTTAAAATTCAGACTCACTCGCTTGTTTATCCTTGGGGTCTATGCACCGACGGATCTGCATGGAGGTGGGTCATTAAAATCCCAACAAGTTAGAGAGGAATTTTGGGATAGCATGAGAGAGGTCTTGAATAAATGCGGCGAAAATGAACGGATCTTTTCCTTGCGGTGCATAGCCGAAAAGTGTTTGACTAAAAACAAGAAGGTGTTTTGCGCGTTCTTGGATCTAAAAAAGGCCTATGATAGAGTGGTTAGGAATGAATTGTGGTCAGCACTGTCCGTGAACAGTGTGAGCAGTATCCTCATATGAGCATTGTAATCTCTTTATAGGGATTCTAGTGCTTGTGTAAGGATAAACGGGGCATACACTGAATGGTTTAATATCGTGTATAAGGCGTAATAAAAAGTGTATAAGGCGATTGTGAATGAAAGTATTAGAAGAAGTAGACCTAGGTGGCCATTTCAAGACCAAACTAGGGATGTCTTGAAAAAAGGCCAAGTCAAGAGCACCCTAAACTGTAGAGCATGTATTAAGAGAATAATGAAAGTGGACGAAGCGAAAAAAGTAGCAAGTGGAAAGAAGTGGTCTCTGCCTACCCCTAAGAAATAGAGGCGTGATTATATGTATGTATGTTTATCGTATGCGTATAATAAAATCTGTGACGTATTTCATATTATTCCTGAAGGGTTTGAAGCAACTGTGGATGATAATAACCCCTGGGAATGAGGTAATCGCTAACAAGATATTGCTAATTTGTTTTGTGTGGTTATTTGTGTAAAATACATGTTTGTAAGCTGTAATTTAAAAAAAGCCCCGCTGGGTTTCTTGCTGGTTCTTCCCAGGACAAAGGTTTGTTTTCAAACCATTTAAGTAAGTATTATTTAAAATCTATATTGATAAAACGTTTCTGTTTTTTTTTTTCTGTGGTTTCCTGTATTTGCAGTTGGTTTCAGTTGTTCATGAGTTGAACTGATGATTGGCGAACTGACACTGACATTTGCCGAACCACCAGGTGAACTACAAGATTTAGCCATACAAAAATTATAAAAAATAAGTGTATTCATAATGGAGTTTTGATTAAATAACTACTTATAGGCATAAGAAATCACAGACACGCTGTCGACTTAACTTTAGCCGATTTAATAGGATAGCACATGTTGTTGTCGTAACGAATCGTTAATAAACTGAAGAGGTTATAGGTTAGCTAAATAGCGTCTAGAATCGATAAACATTTGAACAATGTTTTTTTTTTTACTTTAGATAGTAATGGTGTAAAAGAATGGCTTCGCTTGAGTATGTAAATATTTATCAACATAGATAATTTTAGTTATTTAAAGTGATTAATCAAAAGATAAATACAAAATATTTATAATTGCTTCAATAATTATAGCAAAAACTTCGTCAACATTATTATACAAACATATATAAAAACTAGCTGTTCCTTGCGACTTCGCCCGCAGGTAATTTATTACTTTTGTATTTCACGGGTTTTAATTTTTTTGAGCGGAGCCCTAATTATTTTTCTAAAATAAAAGTAGCCAAAGTTACTTCTTATATATGCCAGTGAAAGTCCGATCAAAGTTGATCCAGCCGTTTCAGAGATTAGCCGGAACAAACAGACAGACAGACAGAAAGACAGACAGACAAAAATTTTAAAAATCGTGTTTTTGTTATATGTACCGTATAAACATACTTTCATATGCATATAGTAAAAAGCTGTTATTTCGACATTAGAAACAGACACTTCAATTTTATTTATTTGTATAAATTAATAATTAACAAATTAAAATAGCGTTGTGTATTACTTACGTGTGAAACACTGACAGTAAGAGTTGGAGAGGTCTCTTCTAAAGAAGTCAACGCTCTGTGCCTCTCGTGTTCTAACCCATAGTCCCAAAACCTTTCAGCGCGTACTACAAAATCGTTTTCAGTACCAAGAAGACTACAATACAGCGAACGATATGAATGACAAGCTTGTGAAAACTGTCCACGCGGTTGGAGCTACGTTCTGGAAGACCCGCCGCAGGAGAACACAAAAACTTTTCGATCATACTCTTATTTTCATGGCTATTAGACGGGAAATGCAACTTCAGCAGATTTTACTGCGTACAGGCAAATGAATAGAGAGATCTCCAAATGCATACGGCGAAATTTATGCAACTTCGTAAACAGCTCGTATTGTTGAAGCGATCGAGCGGAACCAGGGCTCCAAAGTCTTTGCTAGAGATCTGTCTGCCAGAAAGAGACAATTGTCGAAGCTACGATGCCTATCCGAGTACAGAACCAGAGTACGAAACCTATCCAACTGCAGAGAGGAGTAAGAAAGGGTGATGTTAAATTCCTGAAACTCTTCACCGCTGCATTGGAAGACGTTTGTAAACTACTGGACTGGAAAGGATACGGTATTAACAATCAATGGCGAGTACATTACTCACCTTCGATTTGCCGACAATATAGTTCTCATGGCAGAATCGGAGACCTAAGCACTATGCTCAAATTAAAATAGTGCCTCCCAATGGATAGTTCTTAAAATGAACATGATAAAAACAAAGGTCATGTATAACGTCCATGTCACACCTATGCCGGTAGTTGTTGGGAGCACTAAGCTCGAAGTTGTTGAAGAGTATGTTTACCTCGGACAAATCGTTCGACTAGGTAAGTCCAACTTCGACCGCGAGGTCAACCGACGAATTCAACTCGGCTAGGCAGCGTTCGGGAGACTACGACACATCTTTTCGTCAGGCATATTTTAAAACATCAAAACTAGATTGTACAACCAGTGCGTGTTGTCAGTGATGACCTATGGATCTGAGACGTGGTTCTTCACTGATAGCCGTATGTGGAAGCTCAAAGTCGCTCAGCCAGCAATGGAGAGGGCTATGCTCGGGTTCTTGTCTGCAGTTTCCTACCTAGATGCTCTAAAGAGGTTCTGATCGCTAAGGCGAATGGCTTTGCTTATGAAGGAATAAAGACAACGAGAAAGAAAGTGTTGCAATAAACTTTCATAGGAATCTCTGTTTCAATCGTTGTAAGCTTGATTCGAAAACATCGCTAGGCACAATTATCATATATGGCTGTCCAATCACCAGATGGCTAAATACCTAAATATGTTTGACCACAGTATGTTCTTCGCGAAATATATTCACAACGTCCGCAACTGAACCAAAATTGTTGCTTGCCACCTTCATCCACTAGTTAACAGTAAGAGCCGACACCCCGGTGCTCGGACTGCGGTTACATAACACATCTGTATCTGTTCACCGTAATGAAATCTAACGTTCGGATAAAATCTTAAACATCAATATCATCGTCGAAATCATCTTCATCATTGTCATCATCATCACCATCATCATCATCATCAGTCAATTTATTATATACCCCTGCTCTAAGCTAACTAGCTTACAGCTCTAACATCACAAAAAATAGAGACTGCATGCCTTGCGAGATCGTCGCTTCATCTGGTGGAGACCGCCCTTTACTTCGCTAATTAATACTAGACTGCTATCATGAATTTGTATTTCCAATACCGACAACAGATAGGCAATATAAAACATTACCATTTTAGTTGATCTTCAACATGGTATTGAAATTAAATGTTTAGAATTACCTAAAAATTAAATTTCAATTTTATTTACACAATTTTATTTTCACACTTTTTTTATTATTATTTATAATAATAAAATGAAAGTGATATAATATGTAGACGTAAGTTTACATATAATATAAACGAACAAATGTTTAGGAACATAGTAAGAATATTTTACATAAGGCTGCTAAGCAAAGTTTCAAACTTTTTATCTGGAAAGTGGACTAACCGAAGTTTTACTTGTCGAGTACCCCGATAAGCTTTACTGACGATCTCAAAGAAAAAGGGCATTAAGACTTTGGTAGTTCAAAACTTTTATAAGAATTTACAAATTCACAGTGGTGGTTGGAATGGCAAGGCCAATACGGATACTCACATTGAGTTAATAGTGCGCTCGAGGCAAATAGCCTCGCGATTCGCGTCGGCTACTCGCAAGCTTAGATAAGTGTGCCTAGTGCGAGTTCTACAAAATCATTCGAATGACTCCACCATCGCATTAACCGATTTAACGTCATAGGTATCGACAAGCGAAGACAAGCGAGTATGAGTTATAATCGAAGCTAACACTTCGATCTGCGTTTGCTCACTGTGAATGACTTTCATTCATTCTCTTACGTTGGCAGCGCGTTTCCATCGTAAGACAAAATTGAGAACGACATTTTTATTTAGTGGTCTTAATATTAGAATCTGTCTATCGAAGTTGTGACTATTATTGCGATCTTTATTACCTGTTTGTTTATGTTCCGTAATTTGATCAAGGTTTCGTCAGTTTGTGTTAGTATTATGAGATCATGAATTAGCCATTTTATTGTCAATTATTGAAAGTATTAAATTGAAAGCAAAAAACATTAAGATGTTTTCGTTCTAAAATGATTTTATGGTGACATTTGCAGAGTAGTAAATTGAATTTAGTTACTTAATGTAAATTGAACTTATGATGCGTGTGTTTTGAACTTATGAGGTTTTACAGACTATAATTTATTAGATTTTCGGCATGGAGCCCTGAGCAAAGCATCCTCTAATACAAGCGATAGGACGGCGTGTATGAATAACTGGGAGAAATTGACTTAATTATTAAATATTGATGGTAGAAAATTGGATTTATCAAACGCTATTTACACAAAAATTTGAATACTTTCCTGAAAAAGGTGATATCTATCCTTAAATTACCTGTCATCGGGGTGTAACAACGGACTAAAATATGCACACGCTCTTCAACACTGGCATTATAGTAGCAGTCATATATTATTGCCTTTTATTTTATTAATGCCTTTGCGGCTGCAAACATCCTCCAAACAAGAAAAAAAAAACGTCCTACCAAAATTATATATCGTTCTCATAAAACGAAATAAAATTAACTCTTCAACAATTATTCTCACTCTTCTATCTCACTGTAAAAATTTAGGTGAAAACTTTTTCGATAAATTTTTCGGCGTAAAGTTTACATAAGTTACGTCTCGAACGATCGAAATTGCCGCTCGCATTCGCAAAATACTTGAAACAACCAATCACGTGCGTGAGAACGTTATCACTGTCAATGCTCGATGGTCGATTTCGATGACTTAAACTCGCACTCATGAATTGTGATTCCGATTATTGCCACTAGTTGGCGCTAATTATATTCTATACAAATCGTAGTTAACTTTTACAGGATCGAACATGAGAAAAACTCGCACTAGGCATGCAGTAGAGGTTTTACGGGCGCGAGCCAAAGCGCAAGAGTAGGGAACGTGAATTGTTTGTATGTATAGGTTTTCCATTTTTGTACCCACGAGTATGGGGGAATTAAAGGTCCACCTTGGCAGAGACCCCTTACCAAGGTAAGCAGATTTAGAGGATTTATTACTCGCCAGGGGGTCTGCAGGTACCCTGGCGAGGAGCGCACTAACGACTGATTTGTTCATAGAACCCCGTCAGCCATCCATCCCCTCGCGGTGCGTCGCCGCTTGAGATTCGGGGTAACTTTTTATAGAGGTTTTCTCCCTCGCGGTCCGGGCAGTTAAGCCAAGACCCTCGGTCCCTATCAAAGCCGCGAGACGTGATCCACGACACTTCGATACTGGGATTACGAGACCGGCGGTGACAGCAAAGGATGAATCCTTCACTGTCTGCCCTGAGGCAGGGTAAGTGCACACCGAGCCCGCCCTCACTCCTCTGCTATGCCCTCTGCTAATCAGAGGGTCACGCAGTGGAACGCACCGTTGGTCCGGGACGGACCCCCCCCCCATGTCAGAATAATTAGCCGCGGCAGTACCATTCCCCAAGGAGTAAGAATTTCTTCTCATTTCTCGAGGAAGATTACTGCCGCGCCCAGGGTGCACCGGCCCAGTATCTGCTCTTCCCTCCAGACGTATCGAGAGGGACCCGCGAGGAGGAACGATGCGGGGACAGAGTCCGACGCCGCATCGAACAGCGAGGGAGGCTCAGAGAGCTCCCGACAAGTGGAGCCTGGGACCGCGGAGACCAGCAAGTTCTTCCGCAAGCGGTCCAGGCGGGATGGCGACCAGGGGTCGGCATCCGGTGAAGAGGAGGTTTCGGCCCGGAAAATCCCCACCAACAGGCGGGGCGGGCTGAGAGGCAAGGGGACCAATCAGAGGGCCGAAAGAGCGGCAAAGCTTGCCGAGGAGGGGCGCCACCCGGACGATACGGCTCGGGAATCAGGCGAAGAAACAGATGCGACTGGCAGCTCCGAGGTGGAGCGTAAGGACAGATTCGTAAAGGAGGTGGAGGCCGCGATCAAGGTCGTGGCCAACAAGCAAAAGTCCTCCTCGAAAGTCAAGGCCATTCCCGCGGCCTCCGCCTCCATTATGGCGGCTGCGGAGGCCAACTTTGCTGGGGCTGGGCCTAATGCTGACGAGGTGGAGAAGCTGCGGGCGGACGTGGCCCGCCTGACGTCCGCCATGGAGACTCTCCAGAAGGAGAATGAGAAGCTCCGCGCAGACCTGGCCAGTCTACATGAGCCTGCCCCTCGCGCGGCGCCCCAGACGCAGCGCCCAAGCCAGCCCGTGCCGGTGGAGAACCAGGTTCTGAACCTGGTCCGGCAGGAGCTGGCTGCCTTCCAGCACCGGTTCTCCGTGCTGGAGGGCATCGTCCTGCGCCCCCCCCCTAGGGGCAAACAAGACGGCGGCGAGGCCGGCAACGGTTTCCTACGCGACGGCCACGGCTGCCACATCCAGGCCGGGGCCGTCCAGCCAGCCCTCGGGTGGGGCTGCAGTTGCCCCTCCTCCCCCTGAAAAGCCGGCTCCGGCTAAGCCGGCGACGCGAAAGAGAGGCAAGGCGAAGGTGAAAAAGGGCAAGGCGGCAGCACAGGTGATGGCTGCGCCAGCCCCAGTGCCTGCGGCAAATGGGCCAGCGCCAGCGGCAAGCCAGCTGCCGCCGCCGCCACCGCCCCCCCAGCTCCCTGCACCTCCCGCGGCAGAAGCCGGTTGGCAGGTGGTCGGGGAGAAACAGAAGGGGAAGAAGGCAGCCAAAAAGGCCAAAGAGCAGGAGCGGCAGCGTCAGTTCAGGGCGCGCGAGATCGCGGCTAGGCTCCGCGCCCCGAAGACCGCAGCTGTAGTGATTACACTACAGCCGGACGCGGAAAAGAAGGGCGTTACCTACCGCGATCTGCTCGCGAAGGCGAAAGAGGCGGTGGATCTCGGAGAGCTCGGGATCACTGGGGGCCTCCGGCTCAAAGTCACCCAGACGGGGGCCCGTATGCTGGAGATCCCCGGGGAATCCAGTGGCGCGACTGCGGACGCTCTGGCTGCGAAGCTCAGAGCGTCCCTGAACGCGGACGAGGCCCGAGTGTCCAGGCCCGTCAGATGCGCAGACCTGCGCATCATGGGTCTGGACGACTCGGTATCGGAGGAGGAGTTGGTGGCCGCCGTCGCCAGGTCCGGGGGGTGCACTACTGACCAGGTCAGGGCAGGCGCCATACGCCCGGATCAACAGGGTATGCATGCCGCCACGGTGTGCTGCCCTGTTACGGCGGCCAAAACCATAGTGGAGGGCCGAAGGCTTCTGGTGGGCTGGGTCTCAGCGCAGGTTAAGTTGCTGGAGCCCAGACCTCTGAGGTGCTACCGCTGTCTCGTGGGGCATCACGTATCAGCGAAATGCGCCTCGGAGGTTGACCGCAGTGGCCTCTGCTTCCGCTGCTGTCAGCCCGGTCACATATCGGCGACCTGCTGTGCCACGCCGCACTGTGATGCATGTGCGGCGACCGGCAAGCCAGCCGATCACTGGGCCGGGAGCAGGGCCTGCGTGTCACCCGCCAAGGCCAAGGCCGCGGGTAGGGGAGGGCCCTCCTCCGCCGCCACCGCCTCTATGGTCACCGCCGCAGCTGCAACTGCCGCCGCCGCCGCTGTCACTGTCGCCGCCGCCGCCGCCGGCGCCGCCGCGACACCGACGCCTGCAGAGGGGCGCCCCGTGGAGGAAGCTGAAATGGAATGCCTATAACGGCCCCATTAAGCTTCCTCCAGGCGAATATCAACCACTGCGCCTGCGCTCAGGATCTGTTGCTCCAGAGCATGGTGCAGTGGTCGATTAACATCGCTGTGGTCGCTGAGCCGTATTCTGTCTGGCCTAGGAAGGACTGGGTGGCGGACCTTAACGGCTCAGTGGCCATCATTTCTTCGGCCGCCGCCGGTACCCCGACCCTTGAAGGTGTCAGGAGGGGTCAGGGGTGCGTAGCAGCACGGTTCGGGGAGTTCGTCGTTGTGGGGGTGTACTTCTCCCCGAACCGATCTCTCGCCGAGCTCCACAACTCTCTTGCAGAGCTGAGAGCAGTCGTCGTCGGAAGCTATCCCCTCCCCGTGCTTGTCCTCGGGGACTTCAATGCCAAGAACTTGGCTTGGGGTTCTCGTCGTACAGATGTGCGGGGTAGGATGGTGGAAGACTGGGCTCTGGAGACAGACCTGGTCGTCCTAAATCGGGGTTCTGTCCCCACGTGTGTGCGGATGCGGGGCGAGTCGGTGGTGGACATTTCGTTCGCTAGCCCCGCTCTGTCGCCGCGTGCCACTGACTGGCGAGTCATGGAGGGGGTGGAGACCTACTCCGACCACCGGTACATCCGGTTTGACGTCTTCACCCAGCCCTCGAGCGCGCCAGTCCAACAGGCCCCGAGTGGTCCGCGTTGGGCGCTGAAGCAGCTGGACCGGGAGCTCCTCCTGGAAGCCTCGATCGTGCAGGCCTGGGTATCATCACCGGATAGGCCTGCCGACATCAATGATGAGGCAGGGTGGTTCCAGGAGGCCATGTCCGAGATATGTGACGTGGCAATGCCCCGCGTCCGGCCAGGAAGCGCCCGGCGCCAGGTGTATTGGTGGTCGCGTGAGCTGACGTCTCTGCGCGAGGCGTGTGTCGCCGCGCGGCACCTGTACGCCAGGCATCGCAGGCTCCGCATTCGTCCACCGAATGCGGCAGCCATTGAGGCGGAGCTGTACGAGGGATACAGAGCGGCGAAGACCGCCCTCCGGGAGGCTGTCATGCGGGCCCGGGATCGGGCCCGTGAGGAGATGCTGGAGACTCTCGACAGAGATACAAGATGGTGCGGGATAAACTCCGCACCTGGGCCCCCCGCTGACGCAGAGTCTCCGGCCTCAGCTCGTGGAGGACGTGGTGAGCGCTCTGTTTCCTGCGAGAGGGGAACATCCACCCCCGCCTATGGCTCCGCCACCTGCGGTGCTGGAAGCGGACCACCAGGACGACGACGACGACATCCCGGAAGGGACCGGGGTAGACCTGAGAGTGGCGGTACGTAGGCTCAAGGCCAGGAATACCGCCCCAGGACCCGATGGCTTGCCTGGCAAAGCCTGGGTCCTGGCCTCGGAGGCTCTCGGGCCCCGACTGGAGGGGCTCCTAAGCGCATGCTTGGAGAGAGGCCAATTCCCGCTTCGTTGGAAGACGGGGAAGCTGGTCCTCATTCGGAAGCCGGGGCGCCCTGCGGACTCTCCGTCCGCATACCGGCCCGTGGTGCTGCTCGACGAGGTGGGCAAGCTCTTTGAAAGAGTCATTGCAAACCGCCTCGCCGAGCACCTTGCGGGGACGGGGCCGGATCTTGCGGAACACCAGTTTGGTTTCCGCAAGAGGCGCTCTACGGTGGACGCCATCATGCGCGTGAGAGCCCTCACGACGGGGGATGCAGTGGCCAGGGGGGGGGGTTGTTTTGGCGGTGTCTCTCGACATCGCCAACGCCTTCAACTCCATGCCCTGGAGCTGCATTAGGGAGGCACTCCGGTATCACCGGGTGCCGACCTATCTCCGTCGTATAGTCGGGGACTATCTGACGGATAGGGCCGTCATCTACCCCGGTCGCAACGGTGAGTGGAACCGGCGAGAGATGTCGTGCGGTGTCCCACAGGGTTCGGTTCTGGGGCCGCCCCTGTGGAACATCGGTTACGACTGGGTGCTGCGCGCCGACCTCCCTACCGGCGTCAGCGTAGTTTGCTACGCTGACGACACGCTGGTACTGGCACAGGGGGGGTCGTACGAGGCGGCGGCGGAAAATATGACACGCGGGGTTGCGATAGTCGTTGAGAGGATCCGGCAGCTGGGTCTTGAGGTGGCTCTGCACAAGTCCGAGGCCATGCACTTCCATGGTCCTCGGAACAGGCCACCACCGGGATCCTCAGCGATGGTAGGAGGGGTATCCATCGGCGTCGAGTCGACGTTGAAGTACCTAGGACTCGTCCTCGACGGCCGATGGAACTTCGTTGAGCACTTCCGACGTTTGGCTCCCAAACTGGAACGGACCGGGGCTGCCTTCAGGCGGCTCCTGCCGAACCTGGGGGGGCCAAACGCCTCCTGCCGGAGGCTCTACGCGGGGATTGTGCGGTCCATGGCCCTTTACGGGGCCCCGGTGTGGGCGCGTGGTTTGGCGCGGCTTGCCGTCCACCACCTGAACGCGCCCCAAAAGGTGGTTGCCGTAAGAATGGTTCGCGGCTACCGCACGATCTCCCGCGAGGCAGCGTGCCTCCTTGCCGGATTGCCACCATGGGATCTGGAGGCGATAGTCCTCGCGCGCCTACACGAATGGCGCGCGGAGGCACTATGCCGGGGGGAAACCCCGCTGCCACGGCAAGTTGTCGTGCAGCGGACAGACTTCCGGCATGATCTCATGGCGACATGGAGAGAGCGACTGTCGCAACCCCGTGCTGGGCACGCCACTATAGCGGCGATAAGACCCCTCTTTGAGGAGTGGCTTGAGAGACGCCACGGCGTCCTCACCTTCCGCCTGACGCAGGTCCTCACCGGACACGGTGTGTTCGGGAGGTTCCTGCACCGAATCGGGCGGGAGGAAACGCCCGGGTGCTCCCACTGCGAGGATCGACCGGAGGACACGGTGGAGCACACCGTGGAGGTGTGCCCTGCCTGGGCGGAGCACCGCCGTGTCCTCGTAGCGGCGATAGGCGGCGGCGACCTCTCGCGTCCGGCCCTGGTCGAAGCCATGGTCCGGAGCGAGACGGAATGGGATGCCGTCACCACCTTCTGCGAAGCAGTGATGCTAGCGAAGGAGGTGGCGGAGCGGGAGAAGGAGAGAGCAGCAGCTTTCCTTCCCGGCCGCCGCGGGAGACGCCCCGGGCGTCGGGGGCTACGTCGTGGCCCCCGGCCACCGTAGGCGCGGGCCTGTGGACGGCGAGCAATGGGTAGCTCGCCGTCCGTCCGTCTAACGACGACAGGCCGTGTCGACGGCGCGTTTTGTTCCACGCGCGCCTCAAAGAGCTGTCAGCAGCGTGAAGGGGCCCGCAAGGGCCGACGCATGCCGGGGCTGCGGGCTGTTCGAAAGAGATACCGCGGCTCCGGAACGTAAGGGCACTGAAGGAACACGGATGGTTTTTAGTCAGTAAAAGTCTGACACTCCCTTCCGCTCCACCCAGAGCGAAAGGCGTCATTTGATGATTTTCCATCCGCAAAAAAAAAAAAAAAAAAAAAAAAGGGAACGTGAATTAACAGTTCGTTACATATTCGCTATGTACCTATACAAAAAGGAGTGGAGCAACGCCCGAGGCTTAGAATTCAGAGAACTTTACCAATCAGAAGAGCTCATCTGAAATCTATCAGGAAAACGCCGATGCCCTTTTCAGTTTCGTGATGATATAACGTTTTTCGTATTATATATATATAGTTTTCGTATTTCGTATACTTATTACGCCTCATTTCTAGTGTAGTACAACTTTATTAATTATAATCTGGACCTTTTTTTTTTATAGGAGAAGAGGCAAACGAGCATGCGGCTCACTTGATGGTAAGTGACTACCGCCGCCCATGAACAACTGCAACACCAGGGGAATCGCAGATGCGTTGCCGCCCTTTTAAAAAGGAGTACGCTCTTTTCTTGAAGGTCCCTAAGTCGTATCGGTCCGGAAAAATCGCTGATGGTAATAGATTCCACAAGGAGGTCGTGCGAGGAAGAAAACAGCTTCTAAATCGCACAGCGGTGGACCGCCAATCATCCAGATGGTGTGGATGGTATCGGGAGTTCTGCCGCGATGTGCGTTCGTGAAATTTGGCGGCTGGGATTAATCCGAACAATTCCTCAGAGCACTCCCCATGGTAAATGCGAAAGAAAATGCAAAGGGATGCAACATCCCTTCGCAGTGCCAATGAATCGAGCCGATCGGAAAGGGCTCGGTCGTCGACGATTCGAGCAGCTCTGCGTTGGATGCGGTCAAGTGGAAGGAGCTGGCACTGGGGAGCCCCTGCCCAGAGATGGGAACAGTATTCCATGTGAGGCCGAACTTGCGCCTTGTAAAGTTGCAGACGGTGTGCCGGCATGAAATACTGTCCCGCTCTGCTGAGCACGCCAAGCTTTTTAGAGGCCAATTTGGCCTTCCCTTCCAAGTGACCACGAAACTGCACGTCACTCGATATGTCGACTCCGAGGATACCGATACTGGCTGAGGCAAGAAAGGGAGTGCCTTGAAACTGAGGAGATACG